AAAACACAGAGCTAATCAGGGCTGAGGCCAAAGAATTTTCTCCGCCTCGACGTGTGACGAGATCGCAGGCTAAAACGTCTGCAAGGAGCTCGGAGGTTGTTCCTGAGAGCCGCCCTGTGCAGCAAGTGGAACAGAAGGTTCCCCTGGTAGAGATCAATGTCAGCAATCATCTTAATGCTAAGCTGTGCTTCCAGAAGAGCACATCTAAACCAGCAGCGAAGCTCAACACGAGCGTCCTGAGCCCAGACGATGTCCCTCTCGAGGAGAGCGTGCCTGCAGGCTCTGAGCTGATAGTCCCTCAAACCCCTGAGGCAAAAGATGGGGGAGAAAGCGAGGCCATGTCTCGGCTGAAGTTTTTTAATACAACAGTTATTTTAAGCAAAGAGCCTGGGCCAGAGAATTCGGATGATGCTACTCGAGTACCAGAGGGCTCTGAGCAGGAGCCCCCACAGTGTGTTAGGGACAGCCCGGCCACACCCACGCGTTCTCGCCTCAGCCGTCGCTCCGTGCGCAGGAGCCTGTTGGGCAAACCTTCGGCCACTCGCAGAACCTCCCTGGCTGAGAAATACTCACTGGCCAGCAGGAGGGAGAGCGCAATCCGGAGATCGGTCACCAAGGCAATGGCTAAGAAGAAGGCAGCTCGGAAGTCGTCCCTGTCCTCTAGCTGCATGGATGGTAAGTCTGGATGTCACCACACAGAGCTGGCTTTGTGCCCTCCCTGCTCCTCTGGTTGCTTGACCGCTTTTTGCAGCTGGAGGAGGGCAACCTTACTGGGCAGTTCTGCAGTCGCGGTGCAGCGACTGCTCTTCCTAGTCCAGACAAGCTGCCGTTAACAGGGATGTTCTAACTGGCTTTCTGCGTGACTGCTAGTTTGCGGCCTGCAAATCTGGGCTGTAGATCACCTGGGAGAACAGCCTTGATCTCTGAGCTTTTCGGGGTAGTGGCTTGCAGATCCAGGGGGAAGCTGGTGAGTGGGTTTTGTCACTCAAGAGAGACGTGGGCTTTTGCAGCGGCCTGTGGGCTCTCTGGGAAATGAGGTGGCTGTCACAAATCCACCGTGCCTGAAAGAGAAGCTGGCTGCTGGTTTTAGAGCTCCTCTATTGAGAAGGGAATGTTGAGTTTGAAATTAATTAGGTTTGTAAGTTTACTAAGTCTTTCAGGTCTTTACATCTTGTGGCAGAGGTGGGCTTTAGCAAAGGGCAAACTGATTCAGGTGTTCTTCTGTGCCACTGGAATGCAAGCATTGGATTTGGTGCAGGAGAACGCGGGGTGGATGTAACCTCACTTTCTGTGTCAAGCTGAGGAAAAGTGCCTAACAAATGGCTCCTGAAATGTAGATGATGCACGAGAACCTCTTCCGCACAATTTCATGTTGAGGAGAGGTTGGGCCTTTTGCACAGGGTGCTTTTTTGTTTAAAGGGAGAACCAATACAGCTGAAATAATGCTCCTGTGACGTCTTCATCTGCATGTTCTAGCTTTGTGAGATTTGCGCTGTAAGCACTGACTTTTCTTGAAGAGTTTCCTCTATTTTTGCTGTGGAAGGATGTACCTGTGTCTTGTGAAAGGTCTGTGGCTGTGGGAGGTATGTACCTGAGCTGAACACTTGCTTGTTTCAGAGCCCCTTAAGGACTTGCACCGAGACAATTTGCAAGACAGTGAAGAGTAGGTGATCTATTAAAGCATCAGATACAACAGTTTAGGGATTGCAGTTGATACGTTCACTCACTGCAATAGCACTAACATATAATAATAACACTAGCAAAACTCTTGTCTGGGTATTTCTTGCCAAAAGGTGAAAGCGCAGCTCTTGCCATGAGGCTGTCCCTGGCTCAGGTGCAGGAGGAGCAGAGCCCGTCAGCTGCCCCTGCTGGGGTTGTCCTCTCCCCCGGTGACACACTCCCTCCACACTCCCTATATTCTAACCTCCCCTGTCTCCCCCCTCTCCGGGGTGGTGTTCAGCATCCTTTGGGTGGAGAGTCGGGGGTGGTGGTCACAGATGTTCAGCCTGTGCTTCTCTAGGCTCGTTAGCGTAGCTGAGGTGTCGTGACTGTTCTGCCTTGTCAGAATTTCTGGCTGTAGGGAGAGGAACTGGATGTTTCAGGCAGCTCCAGCTGAGCTGGTTGATGTCGGGGAGCCTCCAGCATGTCTGCCCCGGGGTGCCCCGCTGCGCGTTTGAGCTGCAGGGACACGCCTCTGTCTGCCCGGGGAGCGGAGCCTTCCCCTGTGTCTGCACCTTACAGCTTTTTTTTTTTTTTTTTTTTACTACAGCCTCCAGCTCTGGAGAGGTGCCAGAGAATGAAGAAACAGTTGTCAAAACTGGGTAAGGCTACTTTAAGATATTTCTTTGTCCTTAATATTCTACTTGGAGGACTTCTTCACAGTGGCACAACAAGTAGGTTCACAGTTTCTTTGACGTTACTAAACATTGCTGCTTTTTTTTCCTCCTAGGCCTCCTCCTGGACCTTGTACCCCCTCCGAATTGGTAAGATTGAGCAGAAATTAAAAGTTTCTGTTTGCATGGACTTGTGTATTCAATGCGTTTTGCTCACCTCTCATTTGGTGTTGGAGAATTGAGGAGCTCTGGCCACAGCTCCCAGGGCTCAGTCAGCCCGCAGTGCGGAGCATGGGGCTCACACGTGCACGTGGGGAAGGCTTGAGGCTGCCAAGCCTCTTTTAATCACAATGTTCCAAAGCCAGTCAGGTTTTATCTGGAAGATGAACACATGTGACCCAAGGCTTTATTTTGGATGCAGGCCGAGTGTTCTGTCACGTCATGTTACAGTCTCAGGTGCTTTCAAAAGCCAAGGCTAACTCTGAGTAGAAAATAGCATTCTATGTCAATATATTTAACTGTAAATGGTGAGTTGATGCACACTGCTGGCATTCGGAGTCAAGTCCTGCTTCCTGCCTCTTGCTGCTTAGCCTCTTCCTAGAAATCAGTTGTATGAAAATCCACTCCTGAATCCATACGGACAAATAACCTTAGAATTCGGCACTGGGTGCACCCTCAGTAAGTTTGCTGACGACACCGAGCTATGTGGTGCCGTGGACTCACTTGAGGGAAGAGATGCCATCCAGAGGGACCTCCAGACAGGCTGGAGAAATGGGCCAGTGCAAACTGCAGGAGCTTCAACAAGTCAAAACGCAAGGTTCTGCACCTGGGCCGGGCTAATCCCAGGCACAAATACACACTGGGCACAGAGTGGGTTGAGAGCAGCCCTGAAGAGAAGGATTTGGGGGTGTTGATGGATGAGAAGCTCAACGTCAGGTGGCAGGGTGCTCATGCAGCCCAGAAGGGCAACCACACCCTGGGATGGATCAAGAGAAGCGTGGTCAGCAGGTCAAGAGAGGGGATTCTCCCCCTTTACTCTGCTCTTGTGAGACCCCACCTCGAATACACATCCTGCTTCCAGTTCTGGGCCCCCCACCATAAGAGGCGCGTGGATCTGTTGGAGCGTGTTCAGAGGAGGCCACAAGGGTGATCCAGGGGCTGGAGCAGCTCTGCTGCGAGGACAGGCTGCGGGAGCTTGGATTGTTCAGTGTGGAAAAGAAGACTCCGGGGGAACCTAATAGCTGCCTTCCAGTACCTGAAGGGACCTACAGGAAGGCTGGGGAGGTACTTTTGACAAGAGCGTCCAGCGACAGGACAAGGGGAAATGGGTTTAAGTTGAAGGAGAATAGATTTAGATTGGACCTTAGGAAGAAATTCTTCAGTACGAGGGCGGCAAGACTTTGGAATAAATTGCCCAGAGATGTTGTGGCCGCCCCCTCCCTGGGGGTGTTCAAGGCCAGGTTGGACGGAGCCTTGAGTAGCCTGATCTAGTTGAGAGGCGTCCCTGCCCATGACAGGGAGGTTGGATTAGATGATCTCTGAGGTCCCTTCCAGCCTAGGCCATTCTATGGTTCTATGAATTCAGTTGCACAGAGTTTGTACAGTTTTACTGCTTCCGTATTTTTAAAGCTTTTTTTTTACTTTTTCCTTAGTTGTGCAGATTATTCAAAGGTTGTCCCTTTGTGTTAAGACAGCGACAGGAATTTGTAAATATCATTCGGGTCAAAACGCTGCCCTCCTGAGGAAGAAATCCCAGGATTGTGTCAGTGTTTTGTGCAGAACAACTTTCAGTACTCAGAGACTGAATTAATGGAGCAGAGCTCTGTGGCCTTAAGCACTTGTGTGAACAGGCGCAGGCCCATACCTGCTTTTTGGGCTGTGCTTGTCAGCAGACCTGCAGAAGTTCAGATGAACTCGGTTTTTTGGAGCCTCTGGATTTTTAGCTTGCCTGAGTTGCAGTTTTAAAAAAACTTAAAGGGAAAGTGAGGAGAAGAGAAAAACAAACAGAGGAAAAATTAATAGAGGAGGACTCGTAACTTGTGTTTTCGTACCTGGATGAATTTACAAATAGGCTGGTCTGTGGAGTGTTTGGACTCTCCTTGATCCTCATCTGTTGCTTCTACCCCACTGTAGCTGGGAGTGGGACCTTGGAGCCTGAGTTTGTACCGTTGGGTTACCTTGCTCTGTATATGTCTGTCTATCCCTATCTGTCTGTCTGTGTCTGTCTGTCTGTCCGTCAGCAGTTTTTGTGGCTTGGTTTCTGCTAGAGCCTCCCTTCCGGGGCTGCGAGCAGTGCAAAATCGTGGTGACTCAGCAACCCCCTCAAACCAGAACGTCCCTCTGCCTGCAGGGGCATCTAAGGGCAGTGCTGGAGGGCTTGATCTTACTTAAAGCCCAGGTTCTGCCCAGCCTGGTCTCGATAAGACTCTACAGAAGTGTTGGGGAGGATGAAGTTTCCATATTTCTTTTCTTCCAAGCCTCTGCACTGCCCAGCCTGCGCTCGGGTTAATGCTTGTGCTGCGATTCGAAAGCCGTCGCCTGCTCCCTCACAGGCGTATAAAGCCGTTACCACAACCGAATTTTGTTCTGGTGTAAGTGCAAAGGCAGTAAGCAGCGATGCATATCGCTTTTGTAACAGCCACAGATAAATCAGCGCAATGGGCTCTTTGTCTTCGCTGTCTCCGTTTGCCCACTCAGCACCAGCACCAACCCGAGCGCTGCCGGCCTCTGCCAGGAGCCCAGCGAGCACAGACAGGTTTCCAGCTTGAAATGCTTTTGTCCTGAATAGTTTATGAGTTTGTTCAGTTTAAGCGGTGAATCCCTCATTGCAGAGGCTGTGTCCAGGTCATGTCTGTGCTTCTAGTGACGACGTGACACCAAGGAATTCACTGAGAGAGCGTCCCTGGGTATTTTTCACAGCTGGAGGTTGGGCCTTAGTACCGAGGCTTTATACCACGTGTGCAGTTTGTTGTTAGTGTCACGGGCTGCGTCCTTGTCAGAGGGATGTCACGATCTGAAACAGTAACGGGCTGTCTGTGTGTGAGAATTACGCTGAAACCCCTTTGCTTTTCCTACAGGATCCCCAAAGTCCACGCATGTCACTTCGCTCTCGAGACATCTGCAGAAACGAGCAGCCGCAGCAGACGAGCAGCAACGGTAGCACCCAGGGGATTTTGGTGGCATAATTTTACACAGCCATCGCTTTGTGTGGAGGGTGACTGGGAAGTTTGAAAGGTTGGCTAGTTAATTTGAGAGCCTGGTTTGAAAGACTCATCTTGGACAAGCGAGGATTTGTTTGGAGAGATGAGCCGTCAGGAAATGCTGTGCTGGAGTGATTTTCCACTCCGGGAAGCGTGTGGAAATAGATGTGATGAAGATGAAGGGGTGCAGCATGGCATCAGTGCAGCCCCTGTGCCCTGCAGTGCTTCACACGGCTTTCCTTCCCTTGGCATTTCTTGGGCTGAGCAGTGCTGCGTGCTCGTGTGCCAGAAGTGAGAAAGGTCCTGCCTCGCGCAGTTCGTGGCAGGGCATTGTGCTGTTTAGTCAGCTGCTAACCCTGTTCTCTGCTTTCAAAAGCTGGGTCGGAAGGGATTTTTTTTTTTTTTTTTCTGATAGAACTAACCGTGTAACTATGTTTTCTTTCAGAAAGCAACTTAAAGAAGAATGAGGAGACCCAGGAGCCACCCCAGAGTGCCAGGTATGTCCATGGAATCCTTCAGCTGAAAGTGCCTCTGGAGATCTGAAGCCCAGTTCAAACCAGGTTCAACACTGAAACCTTGTTAAACAGCTTCAGTGTTTTGCGACTGTGAAGCCTTTGGAATAAGTTTTTGTTTTCCTGCCTCCGTGAAAAGATGATTCATTTGTATCTTCTGTCACAGTAGACGTTTTTTATTGGATAACTACTTGTGTGTACGCAGTGAAATACCTTTAAGCTGGGATAGTTTTGTGACTGGTTTCTAAACCTGACTTTGAGACAATCCAGGGGATTTACTTTGTACTGTACTGCTTCTATTTTTGTCCCAGGAGAAAGCCAAGTTACAAAAGAGCTGTGGATGAGCGCTATGACCATCAGCAGGCAGAGGAGGGAGGGCTTTCTCCTCTCAGAAGAAAGACCCCATCCCCGACCTTTCCAGCCAGCAAGGTAAGATTCTTATAACCCTGAGGTGCTTCACCCAGACCTTAACCCTGAGGGGCTTCACTCGGACTTTCCCACTTTCCTGAGGACCCTTTTTGACTTTTTTTCTCCTAGGTTGTGCGTCCTTTCAAAACGTTTTTACACACCGTGCAGAAGAACCAGCTCCTCATGACGCCCTGCTCTGTGGGGAGAAACGGAGTGATCAAATCTTTTATCAGATACAACACTCCTCTCCAGTCCAATCCCAAGGTAAGGTGAGACTGCCGTAAGCTGGCACACAATGGTCTGATGAGCATCTAAGTCACCGCAGGGATGTGAAATAAACTTTCCAACCCGTGTTAAACTAAGAAGTGACTTTAAGCTGGCTGTTTACACTTAGATAAGCTAAATCCAGTTGCAATTAGTCAGCTTCCTAAAGAGTTCTCATGCAGACCCTAAGCTTTACTGTAGCATTCCCCAGTGGTATTAGCAAGTAACAAGTTGGGAATGAAAACTGGGGAACGAAAATCAAGGGGACTTTGAACCTTTTTCGGGAGAGTCTTTTGCCACTCTCGGTTCACTGAAATCTATATTTTAGGTTTCAGCCCAGTGCGGGCAACTTCCCCTCAGGACTTTTTCCCCGTGGAAGCTAAATGTAACTAGATAGCGCCAGAGCAGTAAGATATTATAGTTAGTGTCCAAACTGGGTAATTTAAAACTAATAATGCAAATCATTTACAACATGGAGCATAAGGCAATCAGTCGAATATTTCGCTGTGCTTACCCATGGGTTCGTACTAAGACCAGGCCTGTCTTAATTAGGCATCTGCAGGATCAAATCTGGCATTCAATTAGTTCATCTTAATCTATTTGCTGTGACTAGCGATGGCTGGATCTGCTCTTCTCGTCAACAGTATGCTTAGGCTGGGTTAGGGGGGCTGTTTGGAGAAGCAGGACAAACGCCCCGTGCTTCTGCCTAGAGGACGTGTGGGGCTGACCGCGTGCCCCAGGCGAGCCGCGAGTGCTCCGAGTGCTGGCGGTGGTGCTTCACCAGCAGATAAAGCTTTGTGGGAAGTGGAGGCGGGGGTGGGAGCTCGGAGCTGCAGCAGGCGAGGTGTTTCCTAGAGCACCATCTGCCCCTGCGCTCGCTGCAGGAAGCTGGGGTCGTTGCCAAGCATTAACGCTGCTTTTTGGGTTCTTTGTAGCAGCATAAATCACAGTGCTGGCCGCCCGCAGTCTCTGCGGAAGCTGCCTGGACTTGAGGAGCTGATGCTTCTGTTTCAACTCCCCAGCTGCTTCTCTTGCTCCAAGGTTAACAGCACCACCTTGTTTTCCACTGCGTCCGTTCCCTAACGTCCCTGAGCACTCGTGGGCTGCCTGGGCTCAGTCCGAGGGTTGTTGCCACCCCGTGGTTCTGGCTGCGGTTCCTTGGTGTTACCCCATGGCCTTCACTTAACCCAGACATGTTGAGGTAGGAAGAAACCCTGGCAGGTGGGTATAATCGCATTTCAACTCACTTCAGGAAAAGGAGAGGCAGAAGGTAGAGACTCTGAGGAAAAAGCAGGAAGCTGAGCAGCTGAGAAAACAAAAACTGGAGGAAGAAAAGAAACGGCGACTGGAAGAAACAAAGCTGTGAGTGTGAGCTTTCCCCCGTGTCAGCACTGCTCTCTCTGCATCTATAGTCCCTACATCTTGGTCTTTTACCTTGCAGAGTCTGTGCGTGCAGCCGAAATCCTTCTCGGCTTACTGTCTGTCTGTGCGACATGAGAGCATTTGTTCTCATAGTATCTATCCAGAATGCTAATAAGTTGCCTATCCTAGCAGATTGCTTCTTCAGCTTTCCATCTTAAGCCCTCTGTCTTGGGTAGAGCTTAAAGATATTGCTAATACATAACGGAACGGTGGTTTGGTTCATTGAATTTCGTGCTGCCCGAGAGCTGCCTGTCGGCCTCATGTTTGAGCTGTGAGGAGCTCGTCGGGTGGGACCACACTGGTGAGGTGGACTCTGTCCCGCAGGAAGCGTGAGGAGCGCCTGCGCAAGGTGCTGCAAGCTCGCGAGCGGGCAGAGCAGCTGGAGGAAGAGAGGAAAAGGCGCATCGAGCAGAAGATGGCTCTGTTTGATGAGAGGACTGAGAAGGTAAGGCCCGATACACCCACAGTGTTTATCTGGGAGAATAAATAACCTCTTGATGGAGGTGATGCCACAGCAGCGTGCCTTCCAGAAAGGGAGGAACTGAGGCTGCTGAAACCTAGAGAATAAACTGAGGAACGGTTGAATAAAGAACCTTCCAGAAACCTGGTGATTTTGAGTGACTGCCTTGCTCTCGGTTACAGCAAATGGCAGATGAAAACTCTTATTTTCCAGAATTGTGAATCTAAATGGCTTTATTAAGGTTCTGCTAGTCAGATGGGAGAAGAACTTCAGATAGATAAAGCCTCAGGGCCATTAGGCTGGCCTTATCTGCTTGAAGTTCTCCCATCTGACTAATAGATGAAGAGGTGAAAATACTTCCTCCAGACCATTTCTTTGTATCTCAGACTTTCAGACAATTTGCACATGACCACAGCAGTCATTAGTCTGCTTAATTATCTCTATCTGCTTTTTGTATTTCGTGGTTAGGAGAATGCATTCTGATGGCTTTTGTGGGACTGGATGTATAAATACCAGAATAGGATCAGCTTTTCTTGTGGAGATGTTCAAGGTCACTTCCCTAAATATTATCTTGGTAAAATAAGCCATGGGTCCCACTGGCTGCTGGTGGCAAAAAGAAGAGTTTTGCCCTGTGAGAGGGTGGGAGCTCTGCATCTTTGAGACGCCCTGCTATGATATTCCACATGCACAGAAAGCTATCTCAGCTGAGATGCAGGTATTCAGGCGGCTGTGCGTGTGTCTTAGGTGCGGGAAGAGAGGCTGGCAGAAGAGAAGATCAAAAAGAAAGCAGCTGCCAAGAAAATAGAAGAAGCAGAGGCCCGGCGCCGGCTTGATGAAGAGGCCAGAAAACAGAGAGCGCTGAAGCAGGTCTGTCCTGGAGACTGTCCCGCCTGTGGTTCGGGTGGCTGCAATCTGCTGCGGCCTTTGTGAGCAAGGAGTCCAGTGGGGGTACTAACATGAACCAACAGGGTGCAAATTAGCAGAGAGGCTTTGTCCCTCTAGCTCTGGCAGCGTCATGCTCCCTGCTCCCTCTTGCAACGCGCTGTAAGCCTTAGTGCTGGTGGTGACCCACGTTTCTTCTGCAGTTCTGGGCAGGTTCTCACCAATACTTGCTGATCCACAGATTAAGGTCTTGAAATCGCTCAGTTAGACCTGCTTCTTAGGAGCCCGTAGAGTGGTGGCCGCAGACCCTTTGGGGTACAACATGAGCAGGGAAAGGGCAGCAGTG